AAAAAAATATATATATATATATATATATATATATTGAATATATATGTTTATCTTTTGTTTGTTGGTTGGTTTTTGAGACAGTCTTGCTCTGTCACCCAGGCTGGAGTGCGGTGGCATGATCTGGGCTCACTGCAACCTCTGACTCCCTGGTTCAAGCAGTTCTCCTGCCTCAGCCTCCTGAGTGGCTGGGGTTACAGGCACGCACCACTGTGCCCAGCTAATTTTTGTATTTTTAGTAGAGATGGAGTTTTTACCATGTTGGGCAGGATGGTCTCGATCTCCTGACCTCATGATCTGCCTGCCTCAGCCTCCCAAAGTGCAGGGATTACAGGTGTGAGCATCGTGCCCAGCCTAGTTTTTATATTTTTAGCAGAGGTGGGCTTTCACCATGTTGGCCAGGCTGGTCTTGAACTCCTGGCCTCAAGTGATCCACCTGCCTCAGCCTCCCAAAGTGTTGGGATTACAGGCATGAGCCTCTGTGCCTGGCCATTTACCTTGACTGAGTTTTTTGGCGTTCTCTTAAAGTTTGTATTTTGCCTCACTGTAGTCCTGGCCATTAATAGCGGATCAGCAAACTTTTTCCATGAAGGGCCAGTTAGTAAATGTTTTCAGCTTTGCAGGCCATAGAGTTTCTGTTGCTTCTGTTCTATTACAGAAGCAGATGTAGACAATATGTATGTAAATAGGTGTGGTGGTGGGCCAGAGTTGGCCTAAGGGCTGACCCCTCTTTTAGATCATGACAGTGTGAGCATACAATTAAAAAAAAAAATTGTGGCTCTGAATTGAATACCATAGTTGTGCTTTGAAAAAGTGCTGCCATCTCTACTTCAAATGGGCAAGTCTAGTTTTTCAAGGTGCTAGAGCTATTTTTGGAAATTTTTTTTTTTTTTTTGAGATAGAGTTTTAACTCTTGTTGCCCAGGCTGGAGTGCAGTGGCGTGATCTTGGCTTACTGCAACCTCCACCTCCTGGGTTCAAGTGATTCTTCTGTCTCAGCCTCCTGAGTAGCTGGGATTACAGGCATGTGCTACTACACACGGCTGATTTTGTATTTTTAATAGAGATGGAGTTTTATCATGTTGGTCAGGCAGGTCTCAAACTTCTGACCCCAGGTGATCCACCTGCCTCCGCCTCCCAAAGTGCTGGGATTACAGATGTGAGCCACCTTGCCCAGACAGAAAATTGTTTTTTCAGATTTAACATGGTTTTTATAAGTCATTATAAGTTTTAGCTTTCAAATCAATGAGATTCTCAGTATATACTCTGCACCATTATTCTATACCATATTCACTTTGATTGGATTTGGGGGTTTCTTTATCTTCCGTTCTGCACATAACTAATTGAATTTGCTTTGTAATCTGTAGTGGTTTTAATCTCAGCTGGTGAACTTACTTCTAAGTTCTAGAAACACCAAGCCCTGTACTAATTTTATAGCGATAAGATTATTTCCTAAGTTGATTTAACTTTAAGAAATCTATAGCATGTTTAAGTAGTAATTCATGTTAAAACTGATTGTTATTTCTTAATTGTTAGACATGTTTCCTTTGTTGACTGTCCGGGCCACGATATTTTGATGGCTACTATGCTGAATGGTGCAGCGGTGATGGATGCAGCTCTTCTGTTGATAGGTAAATACCTCACAATTGGTCTGTACAAAAGAATGTGGAACAAATTCGAGATGAAGTATTTAAAGGGGAACTAAGGCCTTTAAGGACCATATCTATTACCTATGGCTGACGCGAATGGGAACTAACATGTCCTCCAGGATGACTTTCCTACCTACTAGCTATCACAAAATACTCGAAAAGATAGACTTGGGGCTGATGGCTTGTGAGAATTCTTGTGGTAGCATCTGAGAAAAAGAAAAAAAGTCATTGGTTCATTTTTCTCATTGAAATCATGTGAGGTGATTTATTTAGTTCTAAATGTATGTGTAAAACTATTTGTGTTGTGTGTGTGTGTGTCTGTGAACTGTCTACTGTAGATGTATTTAAGATACAAATACCATTCATAATAAGTGCTGAAGTCTAGTAATAAGTGGAGTTTTCAAGGATAGTATATGCTTTGTTTCCTGTGTAAGCTATTGAGAGATTTCATTAAAAGCACCAGGCAAGGTGGCTCACGCCTGTAATCCCAGCACTTTGGGAGGCCGAGACAGGCGGATCATCTAAGGTCAGGAGTTCCAGACCAGCCTGGCCAACATGGCGAAACCCCGTCTCTACTAAAAATACAAAATTAGCCAGGCGTGGTGGTGCACGCCTGTAATCCAAGCTATTCAGGAGGCAGGAGAATCACTTGAACCCAGGAGGAGGAGGTTGCCGTGAGCCACGATGGCACCATTGCACTCTACCCTGGGCAGCAAGAGGGAGACTCTGTCTCAAAGCAACTGGGCATGGTGGCTCATGCCTGTAATCCTAGAGCCAGGAGTTCCAGACCAGTCTAGCCAACATGGTGAAACCCCGTCTCTACTAAAAATACAAAAATTAGCTGAGCGTGGTGGGGCACGCCTGTAATCCCAGCTACTAAGGAGGCTGAGGCAGAAGAATCGCTTGAACCCAGGTGGCAGAGGTTGCAGTGAGCAGAGATGAGGCCACTGCACTCCAGCCTGGGTGACAGAGACAGAGTAAGACTCATTGTCAAAAAAAAATTTTTTTTTTAAAGCATGCCACGTGAATATAGTCAGGACACGTGAACATCACAACTTGAGGAGGCTGATCATTAGAGTGCTCAACCAAACATGCCTGTTTATAATACACTGTTATTTTCACAGTCGCATTCTTCCCTCTTGGTTGAAGAGTAGCCTCTGATATTAGTTAAAATTCTTAGATAGTATTAAGTGCTTTTTCTTCTTAATTACTCTCTACCTCTCAGGAAGTTGGTTGGGCCAGAGCATTTCCAAGACTGGATAGAGCTAGAGGGCTTTACCTTATACCTGAGCAAAAGCTGAGGGCAGACCCTGAGAAGCCAAACTTATTGATTTTAAGCTTCTTGCTTAGGACCAGGGTTGGGGGCCAGACAGTTGGGAGGTTCCAGTGAATGCAGGCAACAGGGTGAAGCTGGGCCAAAAGGTGGATGCCTGGCAATAATATCTAGGACTGTTGCCTTGAGTACAGCTAGAACATTCCAAAGTCTCCTTTATTAGATGCCAGACTTTTTTGGGCAGTGGGGGGGTGTGGGTGGCAAAAGAGACTCATAAAATGTACCATTTTATGTATTTAAAGTGTACAGCTTAGTGGCATTAAGTGCATTCACAATTTTGTACAACATAGTGGTTGTAGTGTCACCACTATCTAGTTCTAGAACGTTTGTATCACCACAAAAGAAAACCCCATGCTCGTGAAGCATCAGTCCCCATGTTTCCCTCCCCCACCCCCTAGCAACCTATAATCTACTTTCTCTCTTTATGGATTAGTCTGCTTGTTCTGGGTATTTCTAGCTATTCTTAAATAGATCTTTTTTATTCTTCATCAACTAGCTGGTAATGAATCTTGCCCTCAGCCTCAGACATCTGAACACCTAGCTGCTATAGAAATCATGAAACTGAAGCATATTTTGATTCTACAAAATAAAATTGATTTGGTAAAAGAAAGTCAGGCTAAAGAACAATACGAGCAGATTCTTGCTTTTGTCCAAGGTAAGAAGCCATAATATGTAATAAATCTATGAATCACTTTGAGGGGCATTTACTCTGGATACTAGATGTTAAATTAACTTGTAATGTATATTACCTAAAACACGGTAAACTTATGAGTCTTAAGCCTTAGCACTCTACCTACTGCTTGTTAGCAACCTGATATAACTAATAAAATCTATGTTTCTGAATTTAATATACTAAAGTATATTTTTGCTGGCAGCAAGTTAGAACTGGGGTTGTATTCTGGAAACTTTATCAGTCAGATTTTTAAAAAATAAATGTCAGTAATAGTAAAATGAGTAACATAATCTAAAAAAACTTGTCTTACAGTATTTGTTACTGAACAGCTACTTTCAGATTTGGAAGGACAGTGATTTATTTCATCTCTATAATGTCCCTTTCTCTAATAGCATAGAGATATCATATATCTTATTGTTGACATTTTCTCTCTTAGTCTTGTTTTTCTTGTTAGAAAGGTTAATTTCTTGTGAACTCAGTTCTGTCATCACGAAAAGTAATACGCGATTTTAATTAAAGTCTAATTGTGTTTGGTCTATTTCTTTGACTAGCTTGTTTGACATATAAGTAATACGGAGCAAATATATATGGCTGGGCATGGTAGCTCACACTTGTAATGCCAACACTTTGGGAGGCCGAGGCGGGCGGATCGCTTGAGTCCAGGGGTTCAAGACCAACGTGGGCCACATGGTAAAACTCCGTCTCTACAAAAACTACAAAAAATTAGCCGGGATTGGTGGCACACACCTGTGTTCCCAGCTACTGCGTAGGAGGCTGATGTGTGAGGATTGCTTGAGCCTGGGAAGTGGAGGTTGCAACAAGCCGTGATTGTGCCACTGCACTCCAGCCTGGGCAAAAGAGCGGGACCCTGTCTCAAAGGAAAAAAAAGAAATTAAATTAAAATTATTTGTGCCAGCAGTCTTTGATTATCAGAGTCTGTAATTTTATCTTGACATTTATTGGGAGATTAATTACATGTTAGAAATCTTTTCAACTAGTAGAGTGCTCTTTCCCAGGAACGTTAGTATTTTCTTTCTGTGAACAGGTTTATCATTGTACTAATATTAAGTATGTCTATTAATATAATTTAACAAATTTTCCCTTAAAGGGAATAGTATTCATTTTCAGGAGTAAAAACAAACATAGAACATTGCCAATTTTCTGAACAGAATTATCCACCTTGCACTTGTTGCTGACATTTGTATGGGGTTTAGGCATCTATTGTATTATAGTAATCTTAATTGTTTTATATAACATACATAGAATAAATTTTATAAAACTGTAGAATTTTGATCTTTCTGAATTTTGTCATAATAGGTACAGTAGCAGAGGGAGCTCCCATTATTCCAATTTCGGCTCAGCTGAAATACAATATTGAAGTTGTTTGTGAGTACATAGTAAAGAAAATTCCAGTACCCCCAAGAGACTTTACTTCAGAGCCCCGCCTTATTGGTAAGTGATTGGATTTACCATTAACTCTTAATCTGATCTTTTCCACATTGGTGAGTCCTCTTTAAGGGTGTTTATTAATATTTCCTCTTTCTGCAGAGGTGATGATTCATACAGTTTTTTTTTTAAATCAATTAATTCTGAGATTGTGTTGGCAGTACTAGATTGTATTACTGGATGAAGGACAGAGTCCTGAACACAATAAAAACTGTTAACCTCGGCCTGGTGCCTATAATCCCAGCACCTTGAGAGGCTGAGGTGGGTGGATCACCTGAGGTCAGGAGTTCGAGACCAGCCGGACCAACATGGTGAAACCCTGTCTCTACTAAAAATACAAAAAATTAGCTGGGCATGGTGGTGCGTGCCTGTAATCCCAGCTACTCAGGAGGCTGAGGCAGGAGAATTGCTTGAACTCAAGAGGCGGAGGTTGCAGTGAGCCAAGATTGCACCACTGCACGCCAACCTGGTCAACAAGAGCAAAACTGCATCTCAAAAAAACAAAAACAACTGTTAACCTTTCTGTACTCAATACATGGTATGTGATCAAGATGGAATAATACAGTATTCTCTATGGAATCATAAGGTTTTAGTCAGGGTGTTAGACCTTCCTGACTAAAACGTTATACAGATGATTTTATTGTTCCATTAGAAAAAAACTGATACTGGTATAATTTGATCACCTAAGATTGTGGTTCTTATCCAGGAATGTAGAAGCCTTCTCGAAACAGACATTTGAGCTTGTCTGGGCCTTCATCCGGGCTCCTGGTGTTTAGTAGGAAATATTCTCTGAAGTGACTTAAGTGCAGGTCATGTAGTCCTAGTGTTGTTTTGTAGTTATAAAGCTGAATTGTTCTTACAGGAGTCATATAATATAGAGGTATATAAAGAAAATGTTCATAATCTCTCTGTTTTCAAGTTCTAGTTCCTTAGCCCTAAAGTAAGCAAAGTTAACATTTGGTGTCCATTATTCACACACTTTTCTCTTTGTTCATATCATCATGTATAAACATATACACAGGCTGGGCATGGTGACTTGCACCTGTAATCCCAACACTTTGGGATGCTGAGGCTGAGGTGGGAGGATTGCTTGAGGCTAGGATTTTGGGACCGTCCTGGGCATCAAAGGAAGACCCCATCTCTACAAAAACTAAAATATTATAGCTGGGTACATTGGTATCTACCTGTAGTCCCAGCTACTCAGTAGGCTGGAGCAGGAAGATTACTTGAGCCCAGGAGTTTGAGGTTGCAGTGAGCTATGATTGTAGAATGCAGAACTGCATTCCAGCCTCTGTGATAGAGGGGGAAAAAAATCCATATACAGACATTAATTTTTTTTGTGTGTGTGTGGAAGTGGGATTATGTTATGCATGTAGTTTTTAGAACTATTCTTAACAGTATATGAGGGTTATTTTTCCAGATCGTTACATATAGCTCTAACATTAATAGCTGCGTGATACTCTGTAATACTGGTATACTATATATATGCCACTTGTTAATAAACTTATTTTCATTTTTCCCATCATAAGTGAGGCTGCATAAGCATTGGAGTAATAATAGATTTTTTTTAGAAAGTCACCCCTTTAGTATAAATCTTGTATTGCCACTGTTTTAGAAAAGTTAACATGGAAAATAATATTTCTTCTAAAGTTAAAATTAACACAACTGGCTTTAATTTGTTTTATTTTCTTTTAGTTATTAGATCTTTTGATGTCAACAAACCTGGCTGTGAAGTTGATGACCTTAAGGGGGGTGTAGCTGGTGGTAGTATCCTAAAAGGAGTATTAAAGGTAAACTGGGTTTTGATTGTTGTGATTTTGTTTTGTTTTGCTTTTGTTGTTTGTTTTACCTTTGTCTTAATCAGGAAAAAAAGTATTGGTGATTCAAATTGAAGAAAAAAATTTTCCATGGTTTCCGGTATTTGATACAGAGTTTCTTTTTTTAATATTCTTTTGTTCCCTCTTCAAACTCTATTCCCCTCACTCTTCTGGGCCTCTGATAGCCACCAATCCATTCTCTACCTTTATGAGATCCACCTTTTTAACCCCTGCATATACACATGAGTGAGAATGTGTGATATTTGTCTTTCTATGCCTAGCTTATTTCAGTTAACACAATGGCCTCCAGTTCTAGATAAGTTGCTGCAAATGGCAGAATTTCTTTGGTTATTTTTTTTGTGGCTGAATAATATTCTTCTCTGTGTGTGTGTATGTGTCTGTGTGTCTGTGTGTCTGTGTGTATACACTGCATTTTCTTTTCTTTCTTTAGGTTGTTTTTTTGAGACACAGTCTCTCTCTGTCACCCAGGCTGGAGTGCAGTGGCACCATCTCGGCTCACTGCAACCTCTGCCTCCTAGTTCTGGCGATTCTGCTGCCACAGCCTCCTGAGTAGCTGGGACTACGGGCACTCGCCACCTTGCCCAGCTAATTTTTTTTGTTAGAGATGGGGTTTCACCATGTTGGCCAGGCTGGTCTTGAACTCCTGACCTCAGGTGATCCACCTGCCTTGGCATCCCAAAATGCTGGCATTACAGGCGTGAGCCACCACGCCCGGCCCCTGATGGAACTTTGATAGGTAAGTGATAATTTTGCTGTAACACAATAATTTTAATTACTAATTATATGTTTACAGGTGGGCCAGGAGATAGAAGTAAGACCTGGTATTGTTTCCAAGGATAGTGAAGGAAAACTCATGTGTAAACCAATCTTTTCCAAAATTGTATCACTTTTTGCGGAGCATAATGATCTGCAATATGCTGCTCCAGGCGGTCTTATTGGTAAAGATTTTCTTCTCATCTCTTCTAATTTGTGACTATTTGTGGTACTTTTCGTGGGAGGTGGATTACCAAAAGGGGCATATTATAGTTTTTTAATTGGCTATTTTAATAATAGAGTGGGGTGGGGGAACAGTCATATTCCCCCATGTGGTTAAGCTCTTGTTTTAGGTTATAAGATGACTTCATGAGTTAATAAAAATTATTTTTAAACACAAAGGATACATTTTGGTCAGATATAGAGTAACTCCTTTTTAGCAATACAAAAAAATAAGTTTGATGACTTATCATTTAAGATACTTACCTACACTTAACATTTTTGTTTACACAGTTTTTTGGTAGATAATAGTTCCCCTTTTTTGGGGCGTGGGGGTGAGATGGAGTCTTGCTGTGTCACCCATGTTAGAGTGCAGGGGCGCAATCTCAGCTCACTGCAACCTCTGCCTCCTGGGTTCAAGCAGTTCTCCTGCCTCAGCCTCCCAAGTATCTGAGACTACAGGCACATGTGGCCACGCCCAGCTAATTTCTTGTATTTTAATAGAGATGGGGTTTCACTGTGTTGCCCAGGCTGGTCTCAAAACTCCTGAGCTCAGGCACCTCCCCTGCCTCAGCCTCTCAGAGAGTGCTAGGATTATAGGTGTGAACAACCGTGCCCAGCCATGGTTGCTTTTATGTATATTTTGCAATAGTCCCTTACAACTTAGTTTATTACTAAATACCCCCAAAACTGAAAGATTAAGTGAGAATTAAAAGGGGTATTGTACCTTTAGATTAAAGAAGAAAATGTTTGGTGAAGAAAGTTTATTCTTCACCTAACAAGTTGTGTTTTTGGTGAAAAACTGTAAAGAGGAAATTAAAAAAAGACACGAAAAACAGTTTATCAGATTGGCTGGGTGCAGTGGCTCACACCTGTGATCCCAGCACTTTGGGAGGCCGAGGTGGGTGGATCGCTTGAGCTCAGGAGTTCGAGACCAGCCTGGGCAACATGGTGAAACCCTGTCTGTACAAAAATCAGCTGGGTGTGGCGGCAAATGCCTGTAGTCCCAGCTACTTAGGAGGCTGAGGTGGGAGGATTGCTTGAGCCCAGAGGTGGACGCTGCAGAGAGCCAAGATCGTGCCACTGCACTCCCGCCTGGGCGACAAGGGACCCTGTCTCAAAAGGAAAAAAGAGGCTGGGCGTGGTGGCTCACGCCTGTAATCCCAGTACTTTGGGAGGCCAACTTGGGTGGATTACTTGAGACCAGGCTGGGTAACAGTAAGATGCCATTTCTCCAATAAAATAGTAAAATTAGCTGGATTTGGTGATGTGTGCCTATAGTCCCGTCTATCATTTTATCCTTTGTGTGCATGTGTGTGGTAATCAAGGGAAATTTGGAAACTTAAAATTTAACTTAAGGAAATTTTAAAATTTGTTTTTTTTGAGGCAGAGTCTCACTCTGTCACCCAGGCTGGAGTGCAGTGGTGTGATCTTGGCTCACTGCAACCTTCGCCTCCTGGGTTCAGTTAATTCTTGTACCTCAGCCTCCGGAGTAGCTGGAACTACAGGCACATACCATCATGGCCAACTAATTTTTGTATTTTTAGTAGAGACGGAGTTTCTCCATGTTGGCCAGGCTGGTCTCAAACTCCTGGTTTTAAGTGATCCGCCCTCTTTGGCCTCTCCAAGTGTTGGGATTACAGGTGTGAGCCAGCACACTTGGCCTAAGGAGCTCTTTAAACATAGGAGAGAATGCTGTAATGATAACCCCCACGTAGCCATCACTCAGCTTCAGCAATTATTAATGATTTACCAATCTTGACTGGGCGCGGTGGCTCGCACTTGTATTCCCAGGACTTTGGGAGGCCAAGGTGGGCAGATCACCTGAGGTCAGGAATTCAAGACCAGCCTCGCCAACATGGTGAAATACTGTCCCTAATAAAAATACAAAAATTAGGTATGGTGGCACATGCCTGTAATCCTAGCTACTCGGGAGGCTAAGGTAGGAGAATCGCTTGAACTCAGGAGGCAGAGGTTGCAGTGAGCCGAGATTGCACCACTGTATTCCAGCCTGGGCAAGAGAGAGAGACTGTCTCAAAAAAAAAAAAAAGTTTTCCTAATCTTGCTCTATATGTCTTCTTTCCTCCACTCCCATAAAGACACAGCTGGAATATTTTGAAGTGAATCCCAGGAATCTTATGTGGTTTTTTGTTTTTGTTTTGTTTTTTGAGGCAGTCTCACTCTGTCGCCCCAGCTGCGATCTCAGCTCACTGCAACCTCTGCCTCCTGGGTTCAAGTGATTCTCCTGCCTCAGCCTCTCAAGTAACAGGGATTACAGATACCTGCCACCACACCTAGCTACTTTTTGTATTTTTAGTAGAGGTTGGGTTTCACTGTGTTGACCAGGCTGGTCTCAAACTGACCCCAGGTGATCTGCCCACCTGGGCCTCCTAAAGTGCTGGGATTATAGGCGTGAACTACCGCGCCTGGCCTGGCCCATATGTAGTCTTTAAGCTGTCTTTTCGATCAGTCTTCCAGGGGAGAAGTGGCATGCAAATATCCTGCAAACTTCTCATTATGAATTTTCTATTTTTTCCAGTCTTTGTTAAGGATATTTTGAGTTCAGTTATTATCTCTGTTTGTCCTTTGTTTAGAATTTATTTTTATTGTTTTCCAGACCAAGTACCATCTCCTGCATTAAGTTTTCAGCCAAGCCATCATTCCTAGAAAATCAGGTTTCTAAACCCTTTGTTTAGAATTTAAATCAAGAGAATGTTTCTATTCTCATTTGCCCAGTCATCTCATGAGTGTACATATCCATTTGTCTAGATAAAACAAGTATTTTTATGCCTATATAGCTATTATATGAGTATGAAAATAAAAGTATGTATTAAATTATATAGGTACATGTTGTGCTTATTTGGCTTTGGGGTAACTAATTCACTTTTTTAAAAAATTTTTTGAGACTCACTCTGTCACCCAGGCTGGAGTGCAGTGGTGTGAACTTAGCTCACTGCAACCTCCGCCTCCTGGGTTTGAGTGATTCTCCTACCTTGGCCTCCGGAGTATCTGGGAATACAGGCACATGCCACCACGCCCAGCTAATTTTTTGTATTTTAGTAGAGACGGGGTTTCACCGTGTTGCTCAGGTTGGTCTCGAACTCCTGACCTCCGGCAATCCATCTACCTCGGCCTCCCAAAGTGCTGGGGTTACAGGCGTGAGCCACCGTGCCTGGCCAACTAATTCACTTTATAGGTGTTTTAGGAAATAAAACATTGAGCTATATACATCTTATTTTTATATTAGGAGTTGGAACAAAAATTGACCCCACTTTGTGCCGGGCTGACAGAATGGTGGGGCAGGTACTTGGTGCAGTCGGAGCCTTACCTGAGATATTCACAGAATTGGAAATTTCCTATTTCCTGCTTAGACGGCTTCTAGGTGTACGCACTGAAGGAGACAAGAAAGCAGCAAAGGTAAATGCTTTTTATAATTCCTGTTTCTAAAAATGTGACAAATGGGGGTGTTAAACTAGTTTCGAGCTTTATTCTTTTATAGTTAACATGAAATTTAGAAAAAAAACAGAAGGTAAATAAATTTGACTTCCGCGAAATTGAGAACTACTTTTTTAAATTTTTCTTTTTGAGAGAGGGAGTCTTGCTCAGTTGCCCAGGCTGGAGTGCAGTGGTGTGATCTCAGCTCATGGCAACCTCTGCCTCCTGGGTTCAAGTGATTCTCCTGCCTTGGTTTCCCAAATAAGGGAAAACTGGAACTACAAGCGTGCACCACCACGCCCAGCTATTTTTTTTATTTTTTAGTAGAGATGGGTTTTCACTATATGTGGGCCGGGCTGGTCTTGAACTCCTTACCTAAAGTGATTCGTCCGCCTGGGCCTCCCAAAGTGCTGGGATTACAGGCATGAGCCACTGTGCCTGGCCAAAATTGAGAACTTCTATATGGCAGTCAGTTTAAAAAAGAAACCTATGAAACAGAAAAGTTTTTGCCATGTATGACAAAGAAATGACATTCCTAATATCCATATGATTTTGTTGTTGTTGTTTATTTTGAGACAGAGTCTTGTTCTGTTGCCCAGGCTGGAGTGCAGTGGTGCGATCTCGACTCACAGCAGCCTCGATCTCCCGGCTCAAGGCATCCTCCCACCTTAACCTCCTGAGTAGCTGGGACTATAGGCACGGGCCACCATGCCTGGCTCATTTTGTACTTTTTATAGAGATGGAGTTTTGCTGTGTTACCCAGGCCGATCTCAATGTCCCAGATTAGGCTGACAGAGATGGGAAATTGCTGACACCTAGTGTTGGCAAAGATTTTGGAAAATAAGCAATCATGCTTTTTGAGAAAGTACAAATTGGTAATACTTTCTGAGAGAGAAACTTGCTGATATTTGTCAACATTTGAATGTGGCAACACCCTATCCCAGCAAATTTCACTGTAGCATTCATTCATTCATTTATTGGAGATGGAGTCTCGCTCTGTCACCCAGGCTGGAGAGCAGTGGCACAATCTCGGCTCACTGCAGCCTCCACCTCCCGGGTTCGAGCAGTTCTCCTGCCTCAGCCTCCTAAGTAGCCAAGATTACAGGAGTGCACCACCACACCCGGCTAATTTTTTATATTTTTGGTAGAAACGGGGTTTTGCCATGTTGGTCAGGCTAGTCTCGAATTCCTGACCTCAAGCAATCTGTCTGCTTCAACCTCCCAAAGTGCTGGGATTACAGGCGTGAGCCACTGCGCCTGGCCCATATTAACTCTTATATATATGGCCATATTATTATTATAGCCATAGTATTAGCTTATATTAACTCATATATAGCCATAGTCCTCCCCTCTCCCCACTTTGGGGAATTTTGTACCTCATTTGTACTATGTAACTTCTTCAGAATTTTAAGAGGTTCTCTGCTCTGGTTACTACCTTATTTTTAAAAGGTGGATCTTGTGTAAATTCAGTGGGTGCCAAATAAACCTTCCTTTTGTCATCTTTAGACTATAGTTTAAATTCCTTTACAATAAAATTTCTATATAATTTTTTTTTTAATTTTACGATTGACGTACTTCCAGTAGTATTTGGTAAATTCTTAGTATTTTTGGAAAGCATTGTCTTGATTTGGGGGTTTATTTTATTCCAATTTATTTTTCTAGGTGCAAAAGCTGTCTAAGAATGAAGTACTCATGGTGAACATAGGGTCCCTGTCTACAGGAGGGAGAGTTAGTGCTGTCAAGGCCGATTTGGGTAAAATTGTTTTGACCAATCCAGTGTGCACAGAGGTAGGAGAAAAAATTGCCCTTAGCCGAAGAGTTGAAAAACACTGGCGGTAAGTTTGTTAGTCTTTGTCACTGCCTACTTAAAAAAAGACACAGTCTTGTCATACAGAAATAATTTAAAACAACAAAGTTTTAAAAAAACAAAACAGTCAATTTCCTTAAGTTCTTGGTGGCGTATACATGAGCGCACACATTTCCTTGAGGACAACAGTTATTGGGGCTTTCAGTTTTAACTATTTGTTTGGATGACTTTGAAAACTATACTTCAACCTTCACTGTAGTCCCATATTTTAGTCCAAATACTGTGACTGGCTTCTCTTCCTCCTAGACACAAACCTATGCAAAACCCAATGAATTTGGGTTCGATATTTCCATTGACTTTGGAAATCATTTCACACTTAATAGAAAAATTGCAAGAATTTTACAGAAAACTCCTCTATAACCTTTTCCTAGATTGACAAACACACATACACATTTATTTACATATATGTTTATTTGAACCATTTGAAGGTTAGGCTATATATGTTATGCTCCTTGAACTCTTAATACTTCAGTGTGTATTTCTCACCAAAAAAGGATATTCTTACATAACCACTTAGAAATTTAACATTGGTAAAATACTGAAATCTATGGTGCATATTTCAGTTTTATTACTTATCCCAATAATGTAGTTTATGTTCCTCTGTTTAGAATCATGCATTGCATTTAATTTCATGTCTCTTTGATCTTTAATCTGGAACTTTTTCAGCCTTTGTCTTTTTTTTTTTTTTTTTTTGAGACTGTGTTTCGCTCTTGTTACCCAGGCTGGAGTGCAATGGCGCGATCTCGGCTCACCGCAACCTCCGCCTCCTGGGTTCAGGCAATTCTCCTGCCTCAGCCTCCTGAGTAGCTGGGATTACAGGCACGCACCACCATGCCCAGCTAATGTTTTTTGTATTTTTAGTAGAGACGGGGTTTCACCATGTTGACCAGGATGGTCTCGATCTCTTGACCTCGTGATCCACCCGCCTCGGCCTCCTCCCAAAGTGCTGGGATTACAGGCGTGAGCCACCGCGCCCGGCCCAGCCTTTGTCTTAATTGACATTAACAGTTCTGAAGAATACAAGCTAGTTACTTTATAGAATATTCCTCAGTTTTGGTTTGTCTTACGGTTCAGAGGCCTAACATTAGATTCAGGTTATATATTCTTGGCTGGAATACTTAAATACACTGCAAAGTCTCCTTTTCGGGAATCACAGCCAGAGGTACATGACATCTGACTGCTCCTCTTTGTTAAGGTTAGTTTTGACTATAAAAGATGTCCAGCTTCTCTGCTGTGTAGTTACTTTCTGTCCTTGCAACGAATAAGCAATGTGTAGGGAGATCTTTTCAGCCGATACAAATAGCCTGCTGCTCATCGAATCCCACGCCCCTGGATATAGCATCCACGGATGATTCTTGCCTGAATCGAACTTGACTATAATTACAAAATCATAGCACCTCAGCAGGTCACAGTATCCTCCCCCAACTCTACCACCCCACATTTATCATTTGGCATTCGTTCTTTGCCATTATTTATTTGCCTATCTAGTTGTAATATGGATTAATAGAGTCCTATTCAACATGTTATGATTCATCACTGTCTTCCTTTATATTTTGATGTGCATTGTTCAAAGTTTGGCCAGTGGACGTCCTTCAGGCTGGCCTTTGTGTTCTTTTGACATATACTCATTTTTTTCTTCTTTTTTTTTTTTTGTTTGAGACGGAGTCGCACTCTGTTGCCCAGGCTGGAGTGCAGTGGCGCGATCTCAGCACACTGCAACCTCTGCCTCCAGGGTTTAAGCAGTTCTCCTGCCTCAGCCTCCCGAGTAGCTAGGACTATAGGCACATGCCACCGTGCCCGGCTAATTTTTGTATTTTCTGTAGAGACAGGGTTTCACCATGTTGGCCAGGGTGGTCTTGAACCCCCGACCTCGCATGAGCTGCCACGCCCAGGCTCTTTCTTCTTCATCTTTTTTGGGAGCATTTCCTATTTTCTGGCGCAAGATCTTCTAGACTCATCTTGTACTTTCTCTGTTCCAGTTTTAGAACTGGCCATTTCTCTTATAAATGAAGAGCTGAGTGTTCACATATGCCCATTGCTCTTAGGGTGCTGTTGCTTCTAGGTCTTTTGAGAGGATAGGGCCAGGAAGCGCATACACATTTGTAGTTCCTGACATTTTGCCCTTTCCCAGGTTAGTTAGTGAGTTTGCCCCTTGCTTTCCATTCCTTGTCACCTCATCATAGTCCATACCACCATCATTTTATACTTCACAGTTATTGTGAAATACTCCTAGTTTGCCTTTTATTACTTAAGAGCTCAATCAAAATTAGTCTTAAAATATTTTCATCATGCTATGCTCAATAATTTCTAGATGCTTCTCACTACTTTCTGATACTTCGGACTAGAAATCTGCTTCAACCCATTTAACCTTTCCTTCTGCATTGTCTTATATAAACCTTCTAAATTAGACTGTTTCGTGCCCTGACTGTCCCCATAATTATTCAGATCACCCCTGCTCACTATCTCCTTCCTTAATTATTTATTTTGTATTTTTTTGAGACACAGTCTCTCTGTTGACCAGGCTGGAGTTCAGTGGCATGATCATAGCTCACTGCAGCCTCAGTGTTTTAAGTAGCTAGGACTGCAGGCTCACACCACTATGACCAGCTAATTTTTTTTGTTTTTTGGAGGCACTGGGTTTCACTGTGTTGCCCGGCATGATCTCAAACTCCCAGCCTCAAGCCATCCTCCCCCCTCAGCCTCTCAAAGTTGTTGGGATTACAGACATGAGCCAACCCACCCAGCCCTGCTTCCTTTATTAGGCTTTCGTGATACTGTACCCACAGTGGTCTCATCACTTGTCCAGAAGATTTATCTGAATTATTACCCTGTAATTTAGAAAGTTACATTTTTGTTGTCTCTTAAGTAAATCATTGCTTGTGGTAATTTATGCCCTTTTGATTTTACTTTCGTGTGTGATTATTTATATATATATATATATATATATATTTTTTTTTTTTTTTTTTTT